CGAACCAGGTGACGATGTCGGTGGTAGAACCGATGTAGAGCAGGTCGTCGACGTAGACTATGAGCAGAATGTAATCTTTTCCCTTCTGCAGTCGGTACATGCCTTGGTCATGTGGTAACTGTAGGAATCCGATTTTTACGAGCCGGCCGTGAAGGTGCTGCTGCTAGAGCCGTGGGGCTTGCTTGATCCCGTAAAGGGATTTTTCCAGCTGGCATACTTTTGAAGGGTCGTCGATGAATCCGTGGGGTTGTTCGACGAAGATTTCGGCGTCCACAGGTGCGTACAAGAAGGCGTTTGCGACGTCGATTTGCCGTAGTGGTAGTTTCTTCGTGGCCGCGACGGCGAGTAGGATGCGCAGGGAGGTGTGACGGGAGACTGGGGCGAAGGTTTCTGTGTAGTCGGTTCCGTATCGTTGGTCGAAGCCTCGTACGACCCATCTCGCTTTAAAACGTTCGATGGAGCCGTCCGCGTTGGTCTTAATGCGGTACACCCATTTCCCTGAGAGAATGTTCCTCCCGTTGGTGTTGGTTGTCGGTACTAACTTCCATGTATTCCGGTCTTGGAGGGCTTTTAACTCTTTTTCCATTGCTTCCTTCCATTCCGCCTTATGTTCCCCCCCCAGAGCCTGCGAGAGGGTCGATGGCTCGCGCGGAGAAGGCGGCGGCGGGTGCTGAACGGAGACCCATAGTCCTAGGATCTGCAGTCCCGTGGCTGTGTGTCGAGGGGAATTTTCATTCCCGGGATAAGCTGCTTCATCACCGTCTTCAGGATCGGGTAAGAAGTTTGGCCCGATGCGTTCGGAAATATTCGAGTCGACGGGGTGTGGTGTAGCGTAGCCTTGGTCAGCGAAGTGGTAAAAGGTGTCGAGGTTGTTGCTATCGAGGGGATTATCTTCATCGAGTGGAACAGGTACGGAGCAGTAGGGGAGTGGTCCGGCAGCCTCCGAGGCTCCAGGGACGTCTTCTTCTGCTGCGTCAGCCTCGGCAGCATGGTCAGCGAAGGAGCGAAGGCCCGCGAAGCCGTCGGTGGGGTCGTCTGAGTTGGCAATGTTGTCCAGGTAATGCTGCAGCGTCAGTCGCTCGTAGAAGATAACATCACGTGATGCCACCGTATTTTTGTCTTGTATGTCGAGAATCTTCCACGCGTGAAAATGTTTGGCGATGCCGAGGTGTATTCCCCACCGAGCTCGTTGAGTGAAGCGTCCTGCTCGAGCTGTGTGGGGTCTGTATTGTACCATGCAGCCGAAAACTCGAAGTAATTTTGTGCTGCCCCTTTTTCCCGTCCACAGCAGGTGTGGTGATGCGTTGTTGGGGAGCGATGACGAGGACAACAGGTTGTGCAGGTGGACTGCATGTGTCATCGCGTCTGGCCACAGTGTGTTGGGCAGTTTCATTCCCAGGAGCAGCTTTCGCATCGTCGTCTGCAAGGTCCGGTTCATGCGTTCTGCGACCCCCTGCTGCTGGTGAGCGTATGGTAGGGACACCAGGCGCCTGATTCCTCTTTCCGCCAGATAGGTCCTGAAGCGTTGTGACTGGTATTCCAGTGCGCCGTCTGACTGGAAACTTTTTAGCTTGGTTCCTGATTCCCGTTCGGCTATGGGGAGCCATGTTGTGAAGGCGTCGAAGGCTTGATCGCGCGTCTTGAGGTTGTAATGCCAAGTGTATCTTGTTGCTGCATCGACGAAGGTGATGACGTAGTTGAAGTCGGCTTCCGTGTCGTCTCGAGGCATGTTCAAGATGTCGCTGTAGACTTTTTCCATCGTTGCATATGCAGGCGCGCTAGGATTATGATGTGATGGGAAGGGTTGATGAGGAAGATCTGCTTCGGGGCATGTGAAGCACCGTGCGCGTGGTCGTCGAAGTTCTTGGCCGCTCGTCGTCAGAAGGGCGTTGCGTTCTAACACATCTGCTTGGATTGTTTGAAGTATCGTGCTGTTTGCAGGATGTCCGAGACGTTGGTGCCAGATGTCGTCGGGAGCGCGGTGACCGGGCGAGCGGTGGTAGATGTCGGCGTTGGAGAAGAACGCGACGACCGAGGCGGGACTTCGACAAGCTTCTCGTGTAGCGGGCATAAGTTGGTCTGCTTCTGTTGGCGGTCCTCGTGTCGCTGGTGGTGGTACTCGGCTGGGTCCTGCTGTCGATACTGCAGGTGATGGTTTTGTTAGGACACGTGCGGGTACTTGTCTTTCTTGTCTGATAACTGCTAATGCTCGTGTTCTCTCTGCTGCAGGTATGGTGTTGGAGTGCCAGAAGCCGTCACTGTCGAAGTCGGGATCAAGATCCGGCGGGTGAGTCCAGGCGGCGAATGATACGATACCGTCGCTGTCGGCAATACCGCGGTCGGGGACGAAATCCAACACGAAGACGCCGGACTTCAGGAGGGCACGACCGATGAAGAGGCCGCCTTTCCCGTGGTAAAGCCGAAACTCGTTGGAGTAGGAGTCGCACTCCAGGTGAATCCCCTTGGCCATTAGTTGGCTTACGCTTAGTAGGTTGTATCCCAGATTGTCGACAATGAGCACTTTGTTGAGCTGAAGTATGACGTTTGTCTCCATCGATTGTAACTGAACCACGCCTTGTCTGTTTGTCTTCAGGTTTTCGTTGTTGGCGACGGTGATGACGACGTCGCGGTTGAGGCGTTTCTCCTGTTGCACGAAGCGTCCCGAGGAGCACATGTGTTGACCGCAGCAGCTGTCCAAGAACCAGGTGTTTCGCCCGGTGGGTTCGGCGTTGGCGACCGCAGCATATGTTGGATTGACTTGAAGGCCTTGTGAGCGTGGTGGCGGCAGCTCTTCTTCGTCTGGCGCGTAGGTGGGTGGTGATCCGGGTGCGCAGTTGTCGATGTGTACCATGCAGTTAATAATATTTGGTGTCCCTTGTGCAGATGTCGAGGAGCGCCTTGGAGGACTTTCTTGGGTGGAGGCGACTTGTGGGTCTACTGGGCGGTAAACGCGAGGGCGGTTGCAGTTGACCTTGGAGTGCCCGGAAGTCTGACAGTTGTGGCAGAACGGCGGCACGAAGGTAGTCCCTCTGTTGTCGCGCTCTTGCTTGCCGCGTCGATTGTAGGTGTTGTCGTTTCTTCGTTGAGTGTAGAAGACTAACTGCTGCTGCTTCCTTGGTTGCCTTTCTTCGAACAGGTCCATCTCCTGTTGTTCAGCGTGAAGCTCGGCGCAGAGGTGCATCTCCGAAATTCTTCCGTGGGCGCGAAGAAGTGATCGTGTGGTTCTCCATTCTGGCCCGAGCCCGGCGAGGACAAGTGTCACGAAGCTTTCTTCAGTGATTGTTCCTCCGCACCGAAGCAGGCGGTCGCGGAGAGTCTGGCATCCACTCATATATTGCATTGCCTTTTCCCCGGTCTTCATCTGTATTGTTGTCAGTTGTTGCATGAGTCTGCTTTGCGTCACGCTGTCGTTTGCTTGATAAAGGCACTTGAGATGATGCCATGCGAGTTCCGCGGAGTTCCCATAACTCCGATATGTTCTGATGCTCTGCTGTTCTTGTGGTGACAGGTTCCGCAGGAGGACTGTATACGCCAGCAGCGACTGATACGTGAAGATCTCGTGCTCCTTTCCAGTGCCGTTGCTTGGAAATGGCAGGGACCCATTGAAGTATCCCAGAAGATGCGCGGCCTCCATCAGCAGCTCGAACTCGAAGCTCCAGGTAAAGAAGTCGTGTCCGTTGAACGGTGAGGATGTTTGTAACTTAATAACGTGTGAGAATTGAGCCTGAAGACTGAGAATCTCGTTTGGTGTTTGTTGTGATGCAGCTGCTGTTGGTTGGGCGCGGGGCGGCATGAACTCGAACGTCCCCGGTGATTATAAGGCGCAAAGGTAGGCGCTTGGTTGTGTCGGCCGAAGGATGAGTTGTCGAGGCTCATCGGCGCTAATCCCATGGTTCCTCCATTGCTCTGTGTTGAATGCGCAGGTGTCCTTGTCTGCTGCTGGTCGAAGTGCGACATGAAGCTGAAGAACCTTTCCATAAGGTTGGGGTCCACGCTTGAAGAGGGAGATGGAGTAACCATCTCTGGTACTCTTCCCGTTGTTTCTTGAGCAGTCCCGGTCTCTGTCTGCAGTCCTGAGGTGTGCAGACCAGAGTTGCCGTGTTGAGTTTCTTGGCCGCTGGGTGAGCCCGTAGAGACTTTCTTGCCCTTGCTGTCCATGTCTTGCAATCAATGAAGTCGTTGGATTGAGTTGAGTTGCAGGTTGGTGATAGAACGTAGTTGCTGGGAGTTTGGTCTCTAACCAGCTCTCATACCATGTTGGGCTGAAAAAAGCCCTTAGGATATTTTGCAGAGACTAAGTCCAGCTGTAGAGACTTTCAGACTTTGAGTAGTGCAGCGGAAGTTTGAGACAGTTGAACCCTTGTACTAGTATGTGAGAACAAGTGATTGATAAAAAAAGGCAAACATACAGCAATATATAGAAGATAAGAAACAGTTGTAGAGTACAGTTGCAGTAGCGGTTTATCGAGTCGTACAGCGACTCGATTGTCGCTTCGGTTACCATCCGTGCTGTTGTAACGGTCAGTCGCAACCTCCAGTTGCGACCCTTTGAGTCCCAAACCCTTCGTGTTCTTTGTCCGCCCCCTCGTGTAACCTCCGTTGACTCGCGTACCCCTTGCAATCTTCCTCGAGTGTAGTGTTACACTTCAGAAACGCTTAAGTCTTTTGATGTACTTTCAACAATTCTGACCCCCAAAAAGCTCAGTTTTCAAGAGCGCCCATGGTGTGCTTTTCTAGCCTGTGGTTTTAAGGTGTCATCCTGTACTGTGCATGTATTTCTGCATGTTACGCCCCAAATTCATTTTGCATTATACATAAGACATGGGCGTTATATTTTTCCAGCCTACTGTTAACACCCCTTCGTTTTTTTAATGAATTTTTGACAATACCGTACCCTAGGGTGTTATATACGAGGGAATACGGTAATAAGCCACGGGTTGGGCAGCCAACCTTCCCACTCCCGCCACCTCTGTCTGGCCTCTCCTCAGGGATCTAGCTCATGCTCAGGAAAGAATTTACTAGGAAACAAGCATACAGGCCTTCCCACTATGATGAGAGAACAAACAGAGTAGCTATCAACTGAGAATGCTTCCTGATTTGTGCTACTCTTCCTAGCGGACACTCTCCTGCGCCCAACCCTTCCCTCCCAGCCGAATCCGCCGCGCGCCATTGCAGGGTTTTCTCCTCCAGTGGCAGCCCCATGATTTCTGCCGAATATCCCTTCCCGACCTGCTGCATGTCCCCTTCCAGCCTGTCTCTCCCCTCTGCTGAAGTGTCCGAGCCTGTTCGCCAGCTGCCCCCCCCCTCACGTTGCCGTCATTCCGCCCCCAACTCGCCCACCACTGTATACCATGCACAATTGGGATAACCAATGTACAGTATATCTACACATTTCCAACTCACCTTATAACCTCTCGCACTGTCCCATGAAGCTCTGTAACACAATTATAGAGGTTCATGCGACAGCTGCCCCCTCTGCTCCTCTCCGCTGCCCTCTCTGCTCCTCTCCGCTGCCCTCTCTGCTCCTCTCCGCTGCCCTCTCTGCTCCTCTCTGCTGCTCTCTCTTCTCCTCTCCGCTGCCCTCTCTGCTCCTCTCCGCTGCCCTCTCTGCTCCTCTCCGCTGCCCTCTCTGCTCCTCTCCGCTGCCCTCTCTGCTCCTCTCCGCTGCCCTCTCTGCTCCTCTCCGCTGCCCTCTCTGCTCCTCTCCGCTGCCCTCTCTGCTCCTCTCCGCTGCCCTCTCTGCTCCTCTCCGCTGCCCTCTCTGCTCCTCTCCGCTGCCCTCTCTGCTCCTCTCCGCTGCCCTCTCTGCTCCTCTCCGCTGCCCTCTCTGCTCCTCTCCGCTGCCCTCTCTGCTCCTCTCCGCTGCCCTCTCTGCTCCTCTCCGCTGCCCTCTCTGCTCCTCTCCGCTGCCCTCTCTGCTCCTCTCCGCTGCCCTCTCTGCTCCTCTCCGCTGCCCTCTCTGCTCCTCTCCGCTGCCCTCTCTGCTCCTCTCCGCTGCCCTCTCTGCTCCTCTGCTCCTCTCCACTGCCCTCTCTGCTCCTCTCCGCTGCCCTCTCTGCTCCTCTCCGCTGCCCTCTCTGCTCCTCTCCGCTGCCCTCTCTGCTCATCTCCGCTGCCCTCTCTGCTCCTCTCCGCTGCCCTCTCTTCTCCTCTCCGCTGCCCTCTCTGCTCCTCTCCGCTGCCCTCTCTGCTCATCTCCGCTGCCCTCTAATCTCCTCTCCGCTGCCCTCTCTGCTTCTCTCCGCTGCCCTCTCTGCTCCTCTCCGCTGCCCTCTCTGCTCCTCTCCGCTGCCCTCTCTGCTCCTCTCCGCTGCCCTCTCTGCTCATCCCCGCTGCCCTCTCTTCTCCTCTCCGCTGCCCTCTCTGCTCCTCTCCGCTGCCCTCTCTGCTCATCTCCGCTGACCTCTCATCTCCTCTCCGCTGCCCTCTCTGCTTCTCTCCGCTGCCCTCTCTGCTCCTCTCGGCTGCCCTCTCTGCTCCTCTCCGCTGCCCTCCCACGTGCCAGTGGGAGGGCAACCGCTGGAGGAAACGCGAAATGCACCACGTGAAAGGCCCCTAGCTTAATTCACCTAGAGAAAGCCGCGTAGGAGCAAAAGGCGCCGAGGAAAAGGCGCCGAGGAAAAGGCGCCTAGGAAAAGGCACGTGGTGAAAGGCGCCAAGCGTTGGGCGTCTAGCGGAAGGCGCCTATCGAAAGGCGCCTATTGAAAGGCGCTTAACGAACGGCGCCGATCGAAAGGCCCCTAACGGAAGGCGCCTATCGAAAGGCGCCTATCGAACGGCGCTTAACGAATGGCGCCGATCGAAAGGCCCCTAACGGAAGGCGCTTACTGAAAGGCGCCGATCGGAAGGCCCCTAACGGAAGGCGCTTACTGAAAGGCGCCGATCGAAAGGCCCCTAACGGAAGGCACCTAACGAACGGCGCCAATTGAAAGGGGCCGATCGAATGGCGCCTAACGAAAAGCGCATAACGAAAGATCGTCTATCAAGAGGTACTACCGACCGTAATAACCGGCTTTGGTTAGAATGCGCATACACAGTATAGGCGGCGAGAAAATAGGACTCGGTAATGTCTGGAAACTCAGGTTACGAACTCAAGCTCGTACTTTCACCCATTCCACACCTATTCCAACCTCGGCAGCATTCAACTCAGTCATACCACACCGCTTTCCACCTCGCTGAAAGTTCGAACTCTGGGCGTAGCGTAACCCAAGGTTCCATACAGGAGTAGGTCTAGGGTTTCGACTCTGCTGAGATGGGCTGAGATGGTAGGTTGGTGGCTGCCTTGCTGATTCGGGGTTTGCTGTTGGCCCAACCTTCAAGAGTGCACGGGTATAAATGTTTAGGTAGGCTGGCAAACTTTCTCCCTTAAAGCCAGGGACCCAAGTTTACCAACTGTAAAACAGTTAGTTTGGACTAAAACTACTGATTGGCCGGCGAGCTGTAGGCACCAATGAAATCGCCTGCGAGTGTTGCAATTCACGCACCCTGACACACAACCTGGTGTTTCCCAACCTGCTGTAAAACACTTGCCCCTGGTTCTAGAAACTTGGGTCCCTGGCTTTAACATTCTAGGGAACCCAGATGCCTTCGGTGACCCTAAACCCGAAACCCTAAGGACGCAATTCGTAGCCCCCCGATTCCTTTCTCCCCTGCCCGTTTGTTTCTGCCCATTGTGTCTGTATATATACCCCAATACGACCAATAAAACTCACCCAAACATGAATTTCGCCTGCCCCGATTTAGCAGTGTCGTTTCCTGACCCATGCAGAATGTTGGGTTCCTCTCACAAACACTCATCAGGAATCTGGCGGAGACCGATTGGGATCAGCTGGAAATTGCACGCGACTCGGCGATGGTGAAACAGAGCTTGTGTTTCGCCGTTTTGGGCTGTTCGGCTGCAGAATGGAGGGGGTTTTCTCGCCGATTGGGTACTGTACCAGAGCAGTCAGAGACCCCAGGCTCAAGATCTGGCGCGTTACTGACATGCACGGGAGTTGGGTGATGGGATGGGGGAGCATCATTCCAACTGGGAAAAACCGACGGACTTCTAAAGAGGTCGCGCACGAGCGCTGAAGAACTGTCGGACTCCTAAAGAAGGTCGCACACGAGCTAAGAACTGGCGGACTCCTAAAGAAGGCAGGCGACCTGGTGTCTCAGGTGTGGAACACGACGCCGCGCGTTGTGCTCCACGAATCACGAGTCTGGCGTTGTCCTCTCTGGAAGGACCATGAAGGCATGCTGGCAAACGCAACTTCAAGTTGCGTTGAACCTCACCCTGTTATCAAGGCCACGTTCGGAGCGTACACGTACAGTTGCTAGGTGCCAAGAGGAGCGAGGCTGTCCAATGTCCATCCACGTCACGGGGGATCGTTTCTCCAGAAAACTCGGATCTTCATTGTCCTTCCGCTCCCTCCCCACCCCACTCACCCCCGAGGAGGCCTTCCTGCGCCCAGCTTCCTGCGCCCAGCTTCCTTCGCCCAGCTTCCTTCTCCTGCCTACCTTTTCCAGCCTCCTTTGCCCTACCCAGATCTGCCTAGTAGTACCTTCCTGCGCCCAACTTCCTGCGCCCAGCTTCCTGCGCCCAGCTTCCTGCGCCCAGCTTCCTGCGCCCAGCTTCCTGCGCCTGCGCCCAACTTTCTTCGCCCAGCCTTTGCCTGGCTCTCCACAACTCCGCGGAGATTATGTGGCAGTGCTCTACTTAGTACGCATGAAGACACACAAACCCGACTTTTGAACGCCATCACTACTAGCCAGCACTCAGCCCCGGTCTGTTTGTCGTCACCAATCACAAATACATTGGTACTAGCTAGGAGCACTGGGTGTCAACCGCCTCCTCTGTCGGAGCTAATGGCGCGTGAGCGCCGGGTGCAGCGCGCGCTGGCACTCCTCGTGGCTGTCCTTGTGACGCCCGCCATAACGGTCAATGCTGTTCCGTTCAATGCCACACAAGGTGAGGCAAGCTCCTCACACTGCTTGCCACGTGTTATAAGCTTGAAGCTTTGTCGCCTACTCATTCACCGATTATGTCCGCAGTTGCATGATATCAACAAATACTTCTCTAGGTTGTACCCCCCTCATCGCAGCACTCGTACCGCAGGTCACGCGCCTCCCTCCCCAGTATCCGCGTGTGAATGCACCGCAACGTGGCTGATATGTCTAGTGTCGCATTGCCCTGCATACACTGTTGGGCACGCGATTTTGGAGCCAGCCTGTGTGCCACATGTCAGAACCATCGCAAGAGTGTTTGTGGGTCATCCATAGTAGGAGCAGGTTGTGGTACAAAGCAGATTGTACTTACCCACTACTCTTTCCCCTCTCTTGTCATCAGCGACGTTTCTCAGCGACTGGCAGAAGGCATGGCGAACGACACTGCCAGGGTGGACTCCGGGGGGCGAATGTAGCTCTGCTGTTGGTGTCTCCTGTGATGCTTCAGGCATGATCACAAAAATGTGAGTGAATGCTTTTCTCAATTGGATGCAAGAGAGGGTTGGATCTGCGCCATTTGATCCGAGTTCTCGCAGAAGGCTTCTGTATTCTAGAGGCATCATTTCAAGCGTCATGAAGGCTTGCTGTGATGCTGCTGCGTGCAGGACCCGTGGTCAATCATCTATGCTTCTGTGGAGGCTCGCGTCACTCATGACTGCCCACTGTTTCTCACTCCACTCTTCTTCCAACCCACCACACAGCGCATTGTCTATGGGGGATGTGCGTGGCTCTATTCCTCACAGCATCTCCTCTCTCACTGCACTGATGTCGCTGTAAGAATCTTATGTGGAGGATGAGCTCACCCCCTCATTCGCACATTCTTAAGGCAAAGAATCGGAAGAGATGAGGCGGCGTAATGAAGAAGAGCATGTGTATCAGGTTGACGGCGCCATGACTTGGCCCGACCGGCTCTTCGCAGTGCCCTGCGGCTTGCTGCTGGAAGACTGGTACAAATACGGGTGCTACTAGAAGAGACCAACGCGGATGGCCGCATTGGGGCTAGCAGAGGCGGCCATGCCGCAGGGACTACATGAGTGAGGCGCCTGAGCTGGACAGGTAGGGCACCTACGTCTAGCAAACCGCACGTCTGTAAATCATAACAACTGGGTTTGCAGAAACAGTGGTCAGTAAATCTTTTTTGGTGTAGTAATATGTCTGGCAAGCGACGTTTGCTCCGAGTGCACCAGACAACGTGCAAGTTGCGCAGTCGCATCAACTGCCCGTGCCCATTATTTTCATTCCGCTTCTTGTGACCCACCGCACACAGGGTGCTCATCTACAACTCCCTGACTGGCCCCATTCACGACAGCATCTTCCTGCTCACTCAGCTCACTTATCTGTAGGCCTAGCATGCTTGTCAGTAACGCCTGACCTGGTGCAAAGCACAAAGTGTGGTAGAAAAAAGGGGCTGCATTGGGGTTGTAATATGTAATATATCCAGACAGGCACACATCCAGGGACAATTTCAATGCTTTGAATGTCGCCCACTGATGGAGTTGTTCCTCCGTGAATTTCTCCCATGCTATATCTAACGCATGCATGAGCTGTGGTCATCATCACAGAGATCTTTACAAAAACCAACTCAGTGGCCCAATTCCTGCTGGGATCAGCAACCTTGCGAAGCTAAAATCCCTGTAAGCCGACATGCCCCTGCCTTGTTCTGCAGCCCCATTTATTTGTAAGTCCACTGTTTCCCTTTGCCTTCACCCTCTACCTTTCTCTTCTCGCCAATATACTTACCATCACCATCTCCACTACTCATCATGCCACCGTCTTTTCTCTCCTCTTCCATGTACTTTTGCATGCCTAATGCATAAGTATAAGGACTCTATCCTCACTTATCATGCCCTCGTTTTTCCTATGCTATTGTCACGTATACCACATCAACAATAGCCCATCATGGTGCCATTGTGTTAACGCAAAAAAAATGTTGCCGACTCAGTGCTCGCATCTACTGTTACTTTGCTTGACCAATTCTTCTTTATCACCACAGATACCTGAATAGGAATGACATCAATGGCTCCGTCCCCACTGCAATCGCCAGTCTTACAAACCTACAAGACCTGTGAGGCATCTGCATTGCTGTGCTTTCCCTTCTCTGCCCGTCCTCCCCACTCAACCTCCAAAGCATTCTCCCATCCACTCCAATGAACCCCCTTCAACCAACCTCCGCATCGTGTCTTTCACTTCACGCAGATAGGGTGTACGACCAGGAATGCCAAGTTTGTTAGGTTCAAGGAATGTCTGCCGTGGGACTCTGGTTTGTCAGCTGCAGTGCCTAGAAACCAAGGGGGCGAGTTGATGCGATCACGTCACATTGCCTCATGTCAACTTTGCAATGCATCAACACTGACTCACCGACTCGACTTGACTCGACCCGAGACCAACGAAAAAAAAGAGCCGACTTAACTCGGTTTCTCTTGTCTACTTGTGTTTACGTTCTCTCATGCAAAATTGATCTCCCTGCCTCCATCAACTGCATGGCTGATTTTTGTTCACTATCACACACAGAAGTCTTGCAGGCAATCAGCTCAGCGGCTCAATCCCTGCGGCGATTGGCAATTTGAAAAACCTAGAGAGGCTGTAAGACCTCTGTATCATGGTGCTAGCTCATTTCTTCCCATGCCCTATTCTTTGTCTTCCTACCCTCACAATTCCGGATACAACACCCTCTCCTCACTCAATCTCCAAAACTTTCTCCCATCCACTCCAATGAACCCCCTTCAACTACCCTCCGCATCGTGTCTTGCACTTCACGTGGATAGGGTGTTCGACCAGGAATGCCAGGTTTGTCAGGTTCGAGGAATGTCTGCGGACGTTCTTGTAGGGCTAATCTAGCTGGCGTGAGACTCTGGTTTGTCAGCTGCTGCTGTTGTTATGATCACGCCACTCTGGCTCGAGTCAACTTTGCGATGCATCAACACTGGCTCGCCGACTCGACTTGACTCGACCCGAGACCAAAAAAAAGGAAAATAAAGGCGACTCAGCTCGTTTTCTCTTATCCACTTGTGTTCACTCTCTCTTATGCAAACTTCATCTCTCTGCCTCCATCAACCGCATGCCTGGTTTTTGTTCACCAACAGATATCTTGGAGGCAATCACCTCACTGGCTCAATCCCTGCTGCAATCAGCAATTTGACAAGACTAATGGCGCTGTGAGACCTCTGCATCTTGGTTCTGCTAGCTTCTTTCTGCCCATGGCCTCTAATGTTAATCCGTACCCTCACGATTCCAGATACAGCACCCTCTCCTTCCTCTCCTTTACAAAGTTATGATAGAGTTCACACGCTACTCGATAGGACCCATTGCATCATTAAGCTAGAATGAACCTACTTATAAGAGTGCAAACATGGCATGCGTGGCTGCCCATGTTGTGGCTACGGTGTTCCCAGTGAGTGGGGGAGTGCGTGGGCTGCTTCATTGGTATTCACCGCAGGGCAGGGTCACACTGGCGCCAAGCTGCAGTTGCAGCCACTACCAAAGACAGCAGCTAGTCAAGTGCTGCATTTGTTTTCTCACTCTTTCTGCAAATGTTGACTTGTCGATGGCATTGGTGGAAGTGTATTGCCTTTAGATTAAAATCCGTGCTTTTCAACACATATCTGTTAGACTTCTGCATTTATGCTCAACAACTTCTTTCACCTCCGTCGCCGTCGGTTCCAAATCCTCTCCTCTTTTGCTCCTCTTTATTCATTTTATCCTTTTTGAAAATCTTCCCAACCTTTTAATGGCATATCTACGTTTAACCTTCCTCAAACATCGCCCTCCTCCTTTCCAGCCCCTTCTGCTCAAAACCTTGTCATCTTCTCCTTTTGTTGTGCACTCTATCATTCCTCTGAGCTCACAGACATGGCGAGGCTTTCCTCTCGTCTCCTCTTTCCCCTCTTGAACCTTCTCTCTTCTCCACACCTCTCATTTCATCGTGACGCCTTTCTTCTCCCCATCGTTTTGTCCCTGTCACATATCCACCCCCTCCCCTCCCCTCGTCCATGAACCTTCCCCTGCTCCTGCATCCTAAGTTCATATGGCTTTCCAACATCTAGTAGCTGCCAAAAGAATACTCTATCCTCATTTCTCTGACCCCCATCCCACCGTCTCACTTTTCCCACTCGGGGACGACATCCATCTATCTGCCGTCAGAATTCCGTAGCGTTTTATGCACTGTTCCCCACTGATGTAGCCCCCCCAATAAACTGTTGTTTTGCGTAGGTCAAATCTCTAATAATCCATTTACTATTTAGTCACTCAATCTCTGCGTCCAACCACTGCTTGCATGGCCAATTCGTGTTTATCATCACAGAGACCTTGCTGGGAATCAACTCATTGGCACAATCTCCGCTGAAATCGCCAGCCTTCCAAACCTGCACCAGCTGTGAGGCGTCTTCGTTGTCCTACTCTCCGTCCTCTTGCTTTGCAGCCTCCTATTCTGTTCCCCTCTCTGTGACTTTCTCTCCACGCCTCTGACCTTTACCTTGCTCGTCTTCCATGGGACCCTTCCCTATTTCCCTGCTCGTTGTGTGTATGGCACACCTAGAATCAGGCCAAGCATACACCTTACCTCAGTTCTCGAACCCTATTTCTTGGCTGTTATTATGTGCGGATATTTCCTGGACAATGTCGGTCGCCCACCTATTTCACCCACCGATGAGTCTCTGCTCTCTGTTCTGCTTCCATGTGCTGTTGATTTTACTTCCATGTGCTGTTGATTTCACTTCCATGTGCTGCTGATTTCACTTCCATGTGCTGTTGATTTCACTTCCATGTGCTGTTGATTTCACTTCCATGTGCTGTTGATTTCACTTCCATGGGCTTGGGCTGTTGATTTCACTTCCATGAGCTGTTGATTTCACTTCCATGTGCTGTTGATTTCACTTCCATGTGCTGTTGATTTCACTTCCATGTGCTGTTGATTTCACTTCCATGTGCTGTTGATTTCACTTCCATGGGCTGTTGATTTCACTTCCATGAGCTGTTGATTTCACTTCCATGTGCTGTTGATTTCACTTCCATGTGCTGTTGATTTCACTTCCATGTGCTGTTGATTTCACTTCCATGTGCTGTTGATTTCACTTCCATGTGCTGTTGATTTCAATACCATCAGTCAATGATGCATGTCCTGATTATGTTCCTCATCCCTGAGCTACAGATCTCTTCAAGACAATCAGCTCACCGGCTCAATTCCTGCTGAAATCTGCAATCTTCAATACATGAAACTTCTGTAAGGCCTGTGCTTCGTTATTCTCTCTAGGCCTGCTCCCTCTCTCCACTCTTACCCCGTCCCTCCACTGTTTCGTCTGGTGGCGCTTCTGGCACCTCTTATTACTTTGGGATCCATTTTCTCCTCCCGCTCCCACCTCCTCCTTCCTCTTTTTCTTCAATTTTTGTACCTACCTCTGTATGTCATTTAGTCCTCCCATTCTCTCACCTTCCTCCTCTGCAGCCTCCTCTGCTTAAAGCCCCCGACCTGAGTCTACCAACTGTAAAACAGTTGGTTGATTCGAAAAGCAATGATTGGCTGGCGAGTGGTAGGCAGCAGCGAAGACTGTTGCGAGGGTAGCAATTTCAGCAATATCGTAACTGGCACTCGCGACCCCAATTTCTGCTTCAAAGGGAACCTTGGAGACCTGAGTTTGGGGACCTTGTATTACAAATGGTTCACGTGGCCAGGTTGGCTAGAAAGAACCAATCGCGACCAACGGATTCACGTAGCTCTATGGCGCAAAACCAGGTTATTCCCAACCAAGTGTAAAACAATTTAAAAACTCGGTTCCCTGGCTTTAAAACCTTGCATTCCTCTCATCTCGTTTTGTATCCTCTCCTTCGAATCCCTCTTACCTTCCTCTCGCTGTTTCCTTTTCCTTCTCCTCACCCCGCGCTTCATTGCGCTCTTTTATTCCTTCTCCATTTTTACCCTCCCTTATCTCCTCCACCTCTCCCCCTCCTCTCCTCTGTGAACCCTTCCCTGATCCCCTATTCCATGCGTAAATGGGTACCTTGGATGCGACAAAAAATGGGCCCCCTCTTTCTCTCGCTCTATGTCCTCCAAAAACAGGTCATTCAGCTTTTTTTTCCCCAGTGATGTCATGTTTACTTATCTTTTGTCCTGTATGCTTTCTATCTACCAAAATTTCTATCCCTGCTCATCTGTCACAGATCCCTTGGAGGAAATCAGATCACTGGCTCAATCCCTGCTGCACTTCAAAATATCTCATATCTGGCACACCTGTAAGGCTCTTGTGCCCCCCTAAGTTTGCCCTCCTCTAACCAACATTCTCCCCTCCATTTCACTCTGCTTACAACCGCTCTCTGTACTATTGTGCGCGGCATTCGACCACTATGTGAATTTGCAACGTCGGGAGACCCTAGTTACCTAATTCGAGGCAAAACGCACGTCTGCTGTCGTATTAGTATGGCTCCTTAAGTGGATGCAAAATCTGGTGAATGCTGTGTGAATTCCACTTACCTTGGCTGCTAAACCAATGACAATTAGCAAGGAATTTGCACAACTGGCAGCTTCCAGTCGAATTAGCATGTTGGCTTCCATTCTATCAGTTTCTTTCTCTACATCGGTCTCACTTCTCTTTAGCATTTTCTCCCTCTCTTCGAACCTTTGCTCTGATCCTCACCTCTCATTTCATCCTTGTTTCATGCGAGGTTGAACTCTCTGTTGTTACAAATGCACAACTTGTGCACACTGCTACAGAGATCTTGGTTACAATCAGCTCTCTGGCTCAATCCCCACTGCAATCGGCAATCTTCAATACCTGACATACTTGTATGGCCTTGGCTTGGTTGTGCTCCCGTTTCTCTACCTCTCCTCTCCCTCTTTGCCCTTTTGATTTTTGTCCTGGCCCGTGGTCACTATGGTCCCCTTTCCCTCTATTCTTGCTTCAGGCCATATCCCACCTCTCCCTCCTCCATTGTCTTTTGTTCTTCGTGCGGATAATGTGAATACTCAAGGTTTTCTCGTTAATTACTCGTTGGATTTCACATGTAGGTGGATGAAGGCAAAACGTAGTGTCTACTGATATTCACACTTTTGAGTTTTAGTGGGTAATTCTTAACACTCTGTATGTTGTGGGTGACTCCCGTCATGGCAATCAAGGAGTTTCTGCAATGACAGCAAAGCGGTTGTATCCAAATGCAGAAATGGCTAATGATTGGGAATAGACACGACGAGCACTAGTCGAGCCAAGCCTGGCTTGCCTCAAGTCGGGTCCAGCTTGGCTGAGCATGAGGCCGAGCCAAACTGGAGGTACAAACCTCTGGCTCGAGGATGATGAAAAAAGCCAAGCCGAGGTTGCTCGACACGAGACAGGGGGCTCATCAGTTGGCCATGTCCCTTGAAGCTTTACAGCTTCAACCGATCTGGGTGAATCATATTATTTTCGCCCGCCAGACCCACGTGTCGATGGCCTGATTCACCGCTGAGCTGCGGTGCAAGGCACCAGCAGACGCCCATGGAAGTCATCCTGATCTTTCCGGACTTGAACTGCAAAACTAGGTGCCTAGGTGTAACTTAGACCAAGTCAATTGGTTCGTGATCTCTCGACTGAACTGTCGAGGATTTTTGCCCAACCCTAAGTAGCTACATAGCCCACCTCGCCACTCTATCAAACGCACCCCTATCTGCTTGCACTTTCGATTATCCCTTATTACATTTCTTCTGCTCTTCGTCGCTCTGTAAGTAGCTAGTTACTCTCAATTTGGCTTGAGCAGAGGGCTGGGGCAGGGTCGGGACAGCCCGTTGCCTCCAGGCCAGGGGGCCCGTTTTCGGGACTGCAGGCAGCCTGTCAGTAAGCAGAGCGGCTTGGGTGGGGAGAGGCCTTGTGGGCAGGGAGGATGATAGGGATCAAGGGGTGGTCAAGTCTGAAGCATCATGTGGAGGGTGGGATTCGGATTGATCTTGAATGGTCACACTGGGTGGTGATTGTGTGGGGGCGGGCATCCCTAGAGGCGGGGAAAGGCCCAAGGGCAGTAATACAGGGGCCTAGAGGAAGGTACGACAATGTGGGACCAGTCACCAGACCGCAACTCCATGAAAATGGTTTGGATTTTCTGGCAGGCCGGGCCGGGCCATCCAATACAAATGGGCCTTGGGCCTGGGGTGGGGCCGGCCCCGCCCGACCTGGCCTGGCCCCGACCCGAGTATACCCAAGCCCGGACCCGTCAGGATGGGCTTCCTATGCTCAAGCCTACTATCACTCATGTCTTAGCCTTCTTTATCTCCCCTCCCTCCACTCCCTCCTCCCCCAACCCCCACCCCCCTTCCCCCCTCCTGCCTCCCTCCCCCAAATCTCCCTCCGCTCTTCTCTTCACTTATCATCTATTTCCTTAATTCATTACATGAGCACTAAACAGGTTCCTTGAAAGTTGCCAGCTCTCTGGAACCATCCCAGACCCACTCAGCTCTCTCACCTCCCTTCAATTTATGTACGCCATGTTGGTTAGCTCACATGCCAATGCAGAACTTCATATTATTGGTCTTCTTGATTGTGTAGTAGCTCCATACAAGCACGACCCTCTATGAGCTTGTCTTAGCCTTATGGACCACATCGGTTATTTTTGTGAAGTCTGATATACGAAATCAGTTGAGTCCGCCAGTCCCTTGTTTACTCTAAAGTGCGTGCCTCTTCTTCTAGAATGTTTGTGCAGAAAGAAGTAGTACTCCTCTCAACCCCTCGCCTTCCACTGACCTGCATTCATTGGTCTTCAAACCCTATTTGCTCTTCTCCAGGGATCTAGCCCGCAACAACTTGATGGGGCCCATCCCTACATTCGTTAGCAAATTGACCCGTCTTATGTTGCTGTGAGTAATGCTTCGCCATTCTCTCAACCTTATTGACTACATTGCTTTCATGAAACATCTCAAAATTTGACTATCTTACCTCTCGCTTGTATGCAATACTGTCACGTATGAAATACGCTCAGGAAGGTATTGCCTATGAATTGTACCATATTCAAGGCAAAGAGGTTGGGAACAAAACCCAACCGACCCAGATTTTGTAAACTGTGTTTGGTGTAGGGTGAACTACAACAAACAACGTGAACCCAAAACTGATACTTGACCTCAAGTCCAGGAAATATAGCCGGTGAACCCTATATTTTATTCAAACAGATTTTAAGGCAACTCATGCTTTCATTGGTTCTTGGAAGAGATAGAGAAGATAAGGGGTCTCATGCCATCCAACCAGCTGCTTCAGTTGAGATGCCGTGGCTCTTGATCCATCACAATCCCGCAAAGGCGTACAGCAAGCAATGAGTGAGGAAATCACAGCTGGGACGAACAAAAGCCGAGCCTGGACCGTTCCTCTTCGAGACCAGGAGGGGTCATCCTTTTGAGCAAGGCCGCCCAGCGTGCCGGCCCTCTGCGCAGCCATAAGGGTCCAGCATGCCGGCCCTCTGCCCTCAGCATACAGGCTCGAATCGAGCCGGGTAGACGGCCTCCGGATTGAGAGTCATGCTACCATAGGATTGTACGTCATGCTACCCTATGATTGGGAGTCATGATACCCTAGGATTGCGAGTCATGCTACCCTAGGATAGTGAGTCATGCTAACCTAGGATTGTGAGTCATGCTACCCTAGGATTGTGAGTCATGCTACCCTAGGACTGTGAGTCATGCAGCCCAAGGATTGTGAGTCATGCTACCCTAGGATTGTGAGTCATGCTACCCTAGGATTGTGTGTCATGCTACCCTCGGATTGTAAGACATGCTACCCTAGGATTGTGAGTCATGCTACCCTAGGATTGTGAGTCATGCTTACCTAGCATTGTGAGTCATGCTACCCTATGATTGTGAGTCATGCTTACCTAGGATTGTGAGTCATGCTAACCTAGGATTGTGAGTCATGCTGCCCAAGGATTGTGAATCATGCTGCCCAAGGATTGTGAGTCATGCTACCCTATGATTGTGAGTCATGCTACCCTAGGATTGTGAGTCATGCTACACTAGGATTGTGAGTCATGCTACCCTTGGATTGTGAGTCTTGCTGCCCAAGGATTGTGAGTCATGCTGCCCAAGGATTGTGAGTCATTCTACCCTCGGATTGTGAGACATGCTACCCTAGGATTCTGAGACATGCTACCCTAGGATTGTGAGTCATGCTACGCTATGATTGTGAGTCATACTACCCTAGGATTGTGAGACATGCTACCCTGTGATTGTGAGTCATGCTACCCTAGGATTGTGAGTCATGCTACCCTATACTGATAGTGAGACATGCTACCCTATGATTGTGAGTCATGCTACCCTATACTGGAGAGTCATGCTACTCTAGGATTGTGAGTTTTGCTACCCTATCATTGTGAGGCATGCTACCCTATGATTGTGAGTCATGCTACCCTAGGATTGTAAGTCATGCTACCCTAGGATTGTGAGACATGCTACCCTAGGATTGTGAGACACGCTACCCTATGATTGTGAGTCATGCTACCCTAGGATTGTGAGGCATGCTACCCAAGGTTTGTGAGTCATGTTGCCTTAGGATTAAGAGTCATGCTACCGTAGGATTGTGAGTCATGCTGCCCAAGGACTGTGAGTCATGCTACCCTAGGAATGCGAGACATGCTACCCGATGATTGTGAGACATGGTACCCTAGGATTGTGAGACATGCTACCCTATGATTGTGAGTCATGCTACCCTGGGATTGTGAGTCATGCTGTCCTAGGCTTGTGAGTCATGCTGCCCAAGGATTGTGAGTCATGCTACACTAGGCTTGTGAATCATGCTACCCTAGGATTGTGTGTCATGCTACCCTACGATTGTGAGTCATGCTACCCTAGGATTGTTAGTCATGCTACCCTATGCTAGTGAGTCATGCTACCCTACGATTGTGAGTCCTGGTACCCTAGAATTGTGAGTCATGCAACCCTAGAATTGTGAGTCATGCTGCCCTACGACTGTGAGTCATACCACCCTAGGATTGTGAGTCATGCTACCCTAGGATTGTGAGTCATGCTACCCTTGGATTGTGAGTCTTGCTGCCCAAGGATTGTGAGTCATGCTGCCCAAGGATTGTGAGACATACTACCCTAGGATTCTGAGACATGCTACCCTAGGATTGTGCGTCATGCTACCCTAGGATTGTGAGACATGCTACCCTGTGATTGTGAGTCATGCTACCCTAGGATTGTGAGTCATGCTACTCTTAGGATAGTGAGACATGCTACCCTATGATTGTGAGTCATGCTACCCTAGGATTGTAAGTCATGCTACCCTAGGATTGTGAGACATGCTACCCTAGGATTGTGAGACACGCTACCCTATGATTGTGAGTCATGCTACCCTAGGATTGTGAGGCATGCTACCCAAGGTTTGTGAGTCATGTTGCCTTAGGATTTAGAGTCATGCTACCGTAGGATTGTGAGTCATGCTGCCCAAGGACTGTGAGTCATGCTACCCTAGGAATGCGAGACATGCTACCCGATGATTGTGAGACATGGTACCCTAGGATTGTGAGACATGCTACCCTATGATTGTGAGTCATGCTACCCTGGGATTGTGAGTCATGCTGTCCTAGGCTTGTGAGTCATGCTGCCCAAGGATTGTGAGTCATGCTACACTAGGCTTGTGAATCATGCTACCCTAGGATTGTGTGTCATGCTACCCTACGATTGTGAGTCATGCTACCCTAGGATTGTTAGTCATGCTACCCTATGCTAGTGAGTCATGCTACCCTACGATTGTGAGTCCTGGTACCCTAGAATTGTGAGTCATGCTACCCTAGAATTGTGAGTCATGCTGCCCTACGACTGTGAGTCATACCACCCTAGGATTGTGAGTCATGCTACCCTAGGATTGTGAGTCATGCTACCCTTGGATTGTGAGTCTTGCTGCCCAAGGATTGTGAGTCATGCTGACCAAGGATTGTGAGTCATGCTACCCTCGGATTGTGAGACATGCTACCGTAGGATTGTGAGACATGCTACCCTATGATTGTGAGTCATGCTACGCTATGATTGTGAGTCATACTACCCTAGGATTGTGAGACATGCTACCCTGTGATTGTGAGTCATGCTACCCTAGGATTGTGAGGCATGCTACCCTAGGATTGTGAGTCATGCTGCCCAAGGATTGTGAGTCATTCTACCCTCGGATTGTGAGACATTCTACCCTAGGATTCTGAGACATGCTACCCTAGGATTGTGAGTCATGCTACGCTATGATTGTGAGTCATACTACCCTAGGATTGTGAGACATGCTACCCTGTGATTGTGAGTCATGCTACCCTAGGATTGTGAGTCATGCTACTCTTAGGATAGTGAGACATGCTACCCTATGATTGTGAGTCATGCTACCCTATACTGGTGAGTCATGCTACTCTAGGATTGTGAGTTTTGCTACCCTATCATTGTGAGGCATGCTACCCTATGATTGTGAGTCATGCTACCCTAGGATTGGAAGTCATGCTACCCTAGGATTGTGAGACATGCTACCCTAGGATTGTGAGACACGCTACCCTATGATTGTGAGTCATGCTACCCTAGGATTGTGAGGCATGCTACCCAAGGTTTGTGAGTCATGTTGCTTTAGGATTTAGAGTCATGCTACCGTAGGATTGTGAGTCATGCTGCCCAAGGACTGTGAGTCATGCTACCCTAGGAATGCGAGACATGCTACCCGATGATTGTGAGACATGGTACCCTAGGATTGTGAGACATGCTACCCTATGATTGTGAGTCATGCTACCCTGGGATTGTGAGTCATGCTGTCCTAGGCTTGTGAGTCATGCTGCCCAAGGATTGTGAGTCATGCTACACTAGGCTTGTGAATCATGCTACCCTAGGATTGTGTGTCATGCTACCCTACGATTGTGAGTCCTGGTACCCTAGAATTGTGAGTCATGCTACCCTAGAATTGTGAGTCATGCTGCCCTACGACTGTGAGTCATACCACCCTAGGATTGTGAGTCATGCTACCCTAGGATTGTGAGTCATGCTACCCTTGGATTGTGAGTCTTGCTGCCCAAGGATTGTGAGTCATGCTGCCCAAGGATTGTGAGTCATGCTACCCTCGGATTGTGAGACATGCTACCGTAGGATTGTGAGACATGCTACCCTAGGATTGTGAGTCATGCTACGCTATGATTGTGAGTCATACTACCCTAGGATTGTGAGACATGCTACCCTGTGATTGTGAGTCATGGTACCCTAGGATTGTGAGGCATGCTACCCTAGGATTGTGAGTCATGCTGCCCAAGGATTGTGAGTCATTCTACCCTCGGATTGTGAGACATGCTACCCTAGGATTCTGAGACACGCTACCCTAGGATTGTGAGTCATGCTACGCTATGATTGTGAGTCATACTACCCTAGGATTGTGAGACATGCTACCCTGTGATTGTGAGTCATGCTACCCTAGGATTGTGAGTCATGCTACTCTTAGGATAGTGAGACATGCTACCCTATGATTGTGAGTCATGCTACCCTATACTGGTGAGTCATGCTACTCTAGGATTGTGTGTTTTGCTACCCTATCATTGTGAGGCATGCTACCCTATGATTGTGAGTCATGCTACCCTAGGATTGTAAGTCATGCTACCCTAGGATTGTGAGACATGCTACCCTAGGATTGTGAGACACGCTACCCTATGATTGTGAGTCATGCTACCCTAGGATTGTGAGGCATGCTACCCAAGGTTTGTGAGTCATGTTGCTTTAGGATTTAGAGTCATGCTACCGTAGGATTGTGAGTCATGCTGCCCAAGGACTGTGAGTCATGCTACCCTAGGAATGCGAGACATGCTACCCGATGATTGTGAGACATGGTACCCTAGGATTGTGAGACATGCTACCCTATGATTGTG